CAGGGGCCTGACTCCAATCCCTGCCATTCCACTGACTGGGTATGTGGCCACGGGTCAGTTTCTTCCCTCATGGGAACTCAGTTTCCTCATTTGCAAAATGAAGAGATGAGGGCAAGCCCCCATCCAGTTATAGTCCTCTGGCTGTTTGTTTGCTTTCCTAGAGTGTCCGTTGTGTGTTTGTCATATCTTCCCCATTCCCTGTCTCATTCCTCCTCATCTTCCCTGGAGCATTCTCAGCCAGTCCCCCAGGCTCCTGCCTTCCCATTTTCCCTGGCCATTCAGAGCTCTTGTCCCAGCCTCCACACCTGCCCACCCCACCACCATGTCCTCTTTCACATCTGCCCACCTCGCTGCTCCCTCGGCTGTCTCCTTCCCACCTTCTTGCCCCTCTTTTAGTTCTTTCTTTGATGCCATTGTCCCATGCACCATCATACACCCTCTCTCTTTCTCTTTTGGATCCTTCTGTGAAGGTCACCCGTTTTATGTTGCCCTGGAGAGGCGGATGTTTCTCCCTTGCCTTTTCCTCCCACATTCTTTACTATTTGTTATCACCATATAGTCAGACACACTAATTCTGGGGGAGAGGTCTCTGAATGAGAAAACTCCCTTTGAAAGTGCTTGGAAAATGTTGGTTTAATGGATGGACACATCTTGGTACTCCAGGGAAGAGCTCTGTTGTCCTGCAGTCCTGGATTCAAATCTCAGTCCTGCCTGTTATTAGCTACATGACGTAGAGGAAGTTATTTAACTTTCTCAGATGTGTCTCCTCATCAGCTAGGTGGTGATGCTAATCATAGTAGTAACAAACTGCTATAATTTATGGAGTTCTTACTCCATTTCAGGCACCTGGCTATACAATTGACATACATACTGTTATCTGCTCATTCATTTTACAGTCGTAGAGCTGGGAGCATGATGGATTAATTAGAGAGTCAGATTTCGTCTCTTAGACTCCACATCTGCTCTATAGTAGAAACCTCACCACCACACTGACTTTTCATATTCTCTATCACACAGGCTTACTGAGGTCATATGTATGTAGCAGTTAGCACTGTGCCTGGTACATAGTAAGTGCTCAATAAAACTAATTATGACTATTATTACTATTGACTCAATGTAGGCTAATAAAACGCTGCATGTTTGGACTGCTGTAACAAACCAAGAAAAATAAATTATAATACTATATTCTTTAGATGTCCCTGGTGTCTATGGGCTTTTGAAGATATCTCATGTACCCAGAATCCTGTTTCCACTGAGTTATAGGGCAGGGACTTTATTGGTCAATGAGCAAAGTTAAAAGGCAGACAGAAATCCTCAGGAAGTAGCAAAATTGAGCAGAAAGAATATACCCAGGTTTTGGAGCCAGAAACACCATGATAATGGTGTGCCCAGAAGAACCTCCCTGGGCCTCAGTCTTCTTGTCTGAGTTAATGGCGTGAATCTATAAATTGGAGCTGTGATAATAAACAAAGACCTGTGACCATCTCGGTTCAGGCTGCTGTAATAGAATAACATAGGCTGGGTGGCTTAAACAATGCACATTTATTTCTCAGAGTTATAGAGGCTAGGAAGTCTAAGTTCAAGATGTCAGTCATTTCAGTTCCTGGTGAGAGCCCACTTCCTGGTTTGCAGACAGCCATCTTCTGTATATGTCCTCACATGGCCAGGAGCAGAGAAAGAGATAATCTCTCTCATGTCTCTTTTTTTATAAGGGCACTAATCCCATTTGTGAGGGTGCCACCCTTTGACCTAAGGTCTCAACTCCAAATACAATCGCCTTGAGGATTAGGGCTTCATCATGTGAATTCAGGGGGGTGGGGGTGGGGAACATAAACATGAAGTCCATTGCAGTGACTACCAGAGTGGTGTCTCACAGAAGGCGCTCAGCAGTGTGAACCTGCTTCCTGTCCCTCGAGGTTTTACCATGTTTAGGGATGATGAGAGTCCTCAGTAAGTCATACCATAAACTACCACCACCAGCCTGGTACACCAGGTCCTGTTTCCATGTGGGGTGGCCATCTTGCTGGTCTTCATCTTCTCTTCTCTCCCTGAATCCTCCAGAAACATCTGTCCCTATTCCAGTTGATTTAGCCTTCCTTCTGGAAGTTCTTTCTCCTTGAAGTTCTTGCTGTGAGTGTGGAAAGCACACTCATCTCACAGTCTTTTTTCTGCATCCTCGCAGGCCAGATGTGTGACTTCTGCTCCATCATCTCCCACTGGCCTGCCTCCTTCAAACAGGACCTGTCTCCTAAACCCTGCCAGCCAAGAGGATGGCATTCACCTAGCTACCTAGCTTCTGAGAGCTTTCTTACTATCAAATTTTTGATTAGATGGGGAAAAAAATAATTGACCTGTTTCAAAGTAGGAGCCTTAGGTTCTAACCAACTTGCTAAGTCATTGAACCTGGGCCTCAGTTTTCTTGTCTGTCAAATGAGCCGAGACGGATCG